AAGTTTCTACCAAGTGCCGCCTATGGGTAGGATGATTGCATGTGAGTGAGAGTCGACTGATGGATTAAGTTCTTATTTTATGATTATAGAGACCAATAATAGAAGTGTTTCAGACCAAAAACTGAGTTTGGATTTTATTTTAATCGTTTGAAGTTATAACATTTTAAGCGGAACAGTATTGGAATATACATAGTTTGAGTCAGAAAATGTGCTTAAATTGAATGATATTTCAGTGTAGGTATATACAAAATCTTGAGTCACTTTACTTTAGAATGAAAAAACGTAAATTATTAATTATTTTAGGAGAGGATCGTTAGCTYACGACAGACGATGGTAAGACGATTTTGGGTTTAGCGCAGTGATGCCCAACCTTTTTTGTTCAGCGTGCCACTTTGGTAAGCAATCATTTTCGAGCGGGCCACCGAATWTATGTATTTTTTTTATTTTATTATTATCATTACTATTATAAAATAAATAAACATTACTTTAAATATTTAAGAATATATTATTTGATTTAAAAATTTGTAATGGGCCACATGGAATACCTTCGCGTGTGGCCTGCGGGACGCAGGTTCGGCACCACTGATTTAGCGCGTGAAGCTTAAGAAATTTAAGCTGAAGTTAAGCTGAATTTTCACCACATAAAAAGGAGAATTTTGTCTGTGCAATAGGTATCGTTTTTATTTTTTCGATATCAATTATGCAAAAAAATTCTTATTGTTTTATAATACATCAATTTTGTGTTTTTTAAGCATGAATAACTTTTTGTAGTTCGGATATCGAAAAAATAAAAACGATATTGCACAGACAAAATTCTCTTCTTTATGTGGCGAAAATTTCGTTTCTTAGTTATAACTGTAGCTTTTTCGGTTCYTTCCCGCGCGAAACAGTTTTTGCAATGTTACGCACTTGTAAGGCGGAAACAACACWTGCGGGTGTAGCGTCCTCTTAATACACAGGTGGTACGACAGTTGATACAAGTTAGGTATATTAAAATATTATGTAAGACATATTATTAATAATAAACTTTATTCATAAACAAATGTTATAATGTAACTTTTACGCTTTTATTAATGACAAATTTGTAACATAGGTTCAAACAGTTTAAAAACATTTATTCTACTTTTAAACCTTTTTTAGAAAAATAGTCGCTTCTAAAGGAATGCGTCATAAATTCTCCAACCAATGTTCTTATCCATACTGGTGGCAGTCTCATAAAGAAATGCTGAAAAATACAATACAATGAAAAATGTCTCAATTTTGATATGAACATAATAAAGAATTATTATATATTAACATGTATAGTGTATACAGTATACACTATACAMATAATGAACAAAATAAATTTAACAATCTGCTAAAATTTCTTATTAATCTTTACATTATTTTCTGAGATTATTTTAACTGATATCATAATTTTCAAAAAGTTCAACCAAAATTATGCTAAGTATGAAAACTGTGAAACATTTCAAAATATGTGGGTATATTATATTTAACTATTTTTAAATAGTAAATTAAATGTTAAATGTTTTATTTTAAAAGATCAAATAAGTTCTACAGTTTATATAATCGATTGATTTTTGCGCCAGATAATAGGACGCCACCAACTCGCATAACAATTGACTTATTAATTCTAGGTCGATGAATGTGAAGAAAATAATATTATAGTGTCCATATTATATACATATAGCGGTATAAACCGCTAACCAGTATAAAAAGGCAGTAATTTTTATTAACAAATAACTATGTACCTAACTAATTTTTTTACCTACCTAATTAGGTACTTCACTTTTGATAGTTAAAATAAGTGTTTTTTGTCATCGATGAATTCGTTACCTTTATATACAGTCAACTCTCGGTAACT